TTTTTTTCCTTCCTGTGCCAGTTAGGCCCGGGGGGTGAATTCCGAGCCGGGAAGAGCTTGGCATTCCTCCGGCGTCTCCAGCAGGGGTGTGTGTAGAGGTGGGGGGGGGCTTGCTCAGTGCTCGGAGCCGTTCCTTTTCATCTCGGAGAGAGAGAGAGCGAGCGAGAGAGAGCTGGGCTTTTGTCCGCTCCGGAGGGGCCCGGCTGGGAAAAGCTGGAATAGTAACTCCATTGTCTGGGCTTCCAGCTTGGCAGCGGACAGCATGTGAAGGAGCCCTGAGCCTGTGGTTACTGACCTGCCTGTCCCTCCGCGGGGTGTCATTCTCGGGGTCCCGGGAGCCAAGCGACGGTAAAGCCCTGGTCCGCGATGCGCGCCGGGGCGGTGCTGCCAGCCGGCTGATCCGGCTCAGCGACGGTCCCCCCGGTGTCCCGGTTGCCCGTTCGTGCAGCTGGAGCTGTCGGTGAGGCGCCGCTGAAACCCGGACCGGGCCGGGCCGCACCGCTGTGCAACAGGAGTTGGCTCGGCGGCACTGTAGAACCTGCTCTTCGTGGCCTCCTGCCCCAGAGGGCAGAGCCATGACCACCCTGGGCCCCTGCCCCCCGACAGAACCGGCTCTGGCGTGCCCTTGCTGGTCACGGGTTCGGGGAGGTTGGCGGCGATGTCCCGTGACCGGCGGTCCCCTGTGGGGGTCCGTAGGCGCGGTCTGGTCCGGCGGGGGCTCGTGTTGTCCCGGTGTCTAGTTACTGTGCGCTGGCAGTAGCAGGTGCTGCCTTCGCGTCCGGCCCTAACCTGTTCATTCATTCCTTCTCTTCCAGGAGTGACTTTCCTGTGGGCCCGGCTTCTCTGCTCTCTTCTGGATCTCCTTCCCAAGGGTGAGATGGTTTTTTTTTTGTTCCTGAAACGACTGGGATCCCGTCCCTCCTCCTCTTTTTCTTTTTTCGCCTCCACGTGCAAAACTTTCTTCTCTTTCTCGGCTGCTTGGTTAAAGCTGCTCAATCCCGGGGTTTCATCCCGGTGTTCCCGGGAGGATCCCGGAGCGTCTGAGCCTGCTCGGCTTGGTCCGGGGGGCCCCGCGAGGTCAAGAGGGGCGTCCCCTTGGTGGGAGCTGGCTGGGGGTGCTGGCCGGGTTCCCGGCCAGAAACCGGGGCAGAGCTCACTATACACAGAGCTGATCCCTAATCCGCTGGTCTTGGGCTGCGTTCTCTCCTGCGGCCTGGTCGACGGTACTGAATCCGCTGGGGGGGGGGCCGCTGGGGGGTGCGCCACAGTCGTGACGTGGGGTGTCAGTGGGTGAAAGGTCGAGCTGGAGAGTCAGTCCAGCGCCGGTGGGCCGGGCCCTCGTGTTAGGCAGGCGTGCCCCCGGTTTGTGAGTTCGTTTTGAGGGGGGGAGGGCTGGGTTCCCCGCGCGGGACGTGGGCGGACAGCATTCCTTCTGCGGCACAGTAACCCCCACAAGCGCGACCGGAACGCAGGACTGCCCCCGGGGGTGTGCTGGTGTGGGAGGGGCCGTCCCGGGTGTCCGGGGGGAGCTCGGAGAGGGTACGGAAACAGTAGCCTCGACCCGGAGCAGGGTCGGTCTGGAGTCCTGCTTTTTAAGGGGGGGGGGGCGGCTTCTGTTGAGCGAGGGGCTCGCTCTCCGCGCGGGAGGGTGTGAGCGCTGGCTCGCCCTGATAATGAGGGAGGGGAAAGGACAGACCCAGCCTGCAGGGGAGATCGCTGGGAGGCCACAGCCCTCTCGCTCAGGTGCTCAAACAGGCTTATCTGTTTGCTCTTCTGTCACAGGACCGATTAACCTCAGGAAGGGATTAAGATTGCCTTCTCTTCCCTGTGTTGTTCCTTCTCTCCTTCTGACTTTCCCACTCCTTATCTCTCTCTTGTCCTTCTCTTACCCTGTTCCCCCCGTAGGCCTCCATTTGGCCTGGGGACAGCGGGTGCGTGACTGGGGTGTACAGAGCCCTTTAGGCTTGATTGGA